AAAGATAGCGTGGAAAAACCAAACTTAAATAAATAAATGAATTTTTTATAAGAAAATTGAATCTGTGGGTAGTAGATAATTACTGTTTTTATTATTTTATCTATCAAAATTATGGGTATCATGTCCTCTATTTTTACGGTCTAGAAATTTTTTTAAATTTTTTTTTTAATATAATAACAAGCAAAATACATTTTAAAAAATAACTTTCACTGTTCAATTATAATAATGTGGTCTCCGGAGAACCTTCAAAACGCCACCCTGCAAGAATTTCTCTTTTTTCTCCTTCTTTTTATATTTTAAACCAATAATAATTTGTCAAACACTGAAGTGTCGGTTGAAAAGAAAGGCTACGGAAGGTCACAAATAGCTGGATCTTGGCGGTTTTCGCTTACGTGACGCGTGGCATTCTTGAAGTAGACGAGTCTTTTTGCGGCATACGATGAAGAGTAGCAACGTGGACCCTACATCGGTGTCACCCTTTCGGGTCCCCATTCTCCAAGTTGTCGTGGATTGCTTGCAAATGGACAGCGTGGATCCTAGTTATTATATACCTAAGGAGAAAATATTTATAACTTAATTAATTCAGAGGAAAAAACGAGAAATCATTTTTTAATCCATGAAAAATTATAGATCACGTCGTCGTTTTGTTCATGACAACGCGTTTGCAAGGAGGAAGTTGTGCTTGCCAGCATTACCATCATCGGGGTTGTTCTCTCCGCTTTCCCAAATAGGATTTCCCTCTTTTTAATTATTGGAGCAGATATTAATAAATCCTGCCCTTACACGCACATGCTCATCAAGTATGTGCGTTTGCTATCACTGGTGATAACCAGTATATTCATCATATATTAGCCATCTTATTGTCTCTACTATAGGCATAATTTGGATTTTAATTGATGTAATTGTGGGGTTAAGGCTTTTAATTATAGATTATACGAAGCTAGAGCACCCTGCTGTGATTTGAATATCATTCAATATTAGCTTCTAACACAAGAAAATAAAGCATCCATAATATGAATGTTTATTTTATATATATATATATCATGATTTTCTTGCATAAACCTTGCTTGGCCAGAATATGAATCCCCAGTTGCAGGTCTATCGACAAATGACAGAACCCACAAATGTACAGTAATTTCAGGCTTTAATGGTAGAATGCTTGTGCTTCTTATCTGCAGCATCCAACCCATCAACTGTTCATAAGACCAAGAACACTGTGACTTGGATTACTGTAATTGCAAACAGATAAAGTAAACACGATTCATTAAAATAGGTTAGCAATTACCTGCAAGAACGCGTTCTTTGATAAAGATCACGCAAATCCCTACTTCTCCCCGACGTTCTCGTGGAAGCTGATCAACATCAGAATACCCCCTTGGCGTGCTCGATTATAAACAAGAAAAACTCAAGATTCTTAACAAAAGAATTAAGATAAAAAAAGATTTTGGGCCATCTGATACAGAATCAATACAGAGTTAAAGTTCCTGTTAACAATTTCATGTAGCAGTTTACCAGATGCCGGACTCCTATTTTGCTCATCAACGAAGACTGCAATCTAAGCATGAATAAAAAAGTCAGTGTATTCAATGATATGGTTGGTGACGCATCGATAGTTGCTTCATGTGTGTGTGTGTTAACAAAAACTTAAAAAGAATTGTTGGAGTCCTTCTAGCTTCTCCTTTCAAAGCATTATTCACTGCGGGTGTAGTTTTCTTTTTTCATCATTTTTTTATTCAGTTCTTTAATATTGCATTTATTAGAAATTAATTTATATAATTTATTCCTCTTGTTTTCTATGAAAATATCATAGTCTCAACAATACATCACACCATTTGATATAATGGTTGCCAACTTTTTCCAAAAAATATTGATTCGAGCAAGATAACAAGCTAAAATAATTAAAAAAAATTAAAGTATTTGAACAAGGTCAGTCACTGTTTGCTTCTTTTTTTTTCATTTTGATTATTTAACTTTATTTCTTTACAATCTCAAAAAATATTTTAACAATACATTGATGATCAATGTTACAAAATAGAATTTTAGACTCTAGTAAAAAAAAAACAAATTAAAAGAATAAGGGCCAAAATAAATAACAAAAAACAAATCCTAATGTTCCAAAGGCATGAAAAACTTTAATTTGATCCCTCAAGTTTTAATTTACATATTTATTTAGTCCCTTGAGTTTTAGGATTTTAAGTTTCAATCCTAAACTTCTTTTTTTTTTTCATATTTCACTCCCAAAGAGATAAATTTATTGAAAAATGGTAGGAGAGAGAAAGAGGCTGCTTAGGCACCTTTTGATCACCAAGAAAATTGATCTTCATGTAAATATATTTTTTTATAGAAAAAATCATGGATTTATTTGGATTTTTCATCTTGCTAGAAAAAATAAATCAGGATTTAAAAAGATTTATTTGTTGAGTTTAATATTAAGTTTTAAATCAATTTAAAAGTGTTTTTAATTTAATATTAAGTTTAATGAGCGATCTCTACCATATTTAATAGGTAAATATAAATAAATAAAAAAGTTAAAAATAGAGTTTTGTTATCTTAAAACTTGTACCTGACTTTTCAACTATGTTGAAATCTATATTAGAAGATGATGTATCGTATTCTTAAATAAACTACGTGTAGTCCATTCTATATATATATATATATATATATAGAACATATGACATGTTGCCACCCATTAAAAAATATGCCAGGTGCATTGGACTAGCCTTCGAGAGCCACAAATGCTTGAATTTTTTCCTTTAGTTGAAGAGCGCAGGCTCATCTTCCAGGTCCATACATGTCTAGCCTTTTTGTTAACCAGTCCTTAATTTTATTTTAGAATAAATACTTTTTTTAATAATTTAATTGTTTGTTTTTATGGTTAAATTTATTTATTTTTTGGATTTTTTTATGATCTTAACCTTTATATATATAAAATATTTTTTAATATAGTAAAATATATTAAATCCAGAATGTTGCTATTTAGTAAGTCGACGAAACCTGACAATTTCAAGGAATTTTTTTTATTATTATTATTATTCTTAACGCGCTTATTTTGATACTTCTAGCAAGCAACAATCCATCTTCTTCATCATTCTCATAATTCTGAATTTCTTGTCTACTCGTCATTGTTTCCTCACCTAAAAAATGTTCACCGTGATTAACTTGTTTAGTTTGCTCGCACTCGGCTTGCTCACTTCACACGCCAAAGCTCAACAAAACTACTCGAAGAATTCAGCATTGGACTGCAACGCCAGTGATGAGAGAGGACCATCGTCTGCATTTCTTTACAGCTGCAATGGCCAGAGCCAATCTTGCCAGGCCTTTCTGATCTTCAAATCTCAACCTTCTCTTCACTCGGTGCCTGCAATCTCAGTCCTCACGTCAGCAAACGAAGAAGAGCTGGCTAGAATCAACTACGTTACAAGGCTGTCGGAGTTCCCTACCAACAAAGAGGTTGTTGTTCCGGTAAACTGTTCTTGTTTTGGCCAATATTATCAGGCCAACACTACAATTCAGGTCACGACTACTCGTGGAACCTATTATGTTATAGCGACTGACACTTATATGAGGGATTATCTACTTGCGCTGTGCTTAAGCGCAGGAATACACATGGTGAATATCATTTGTTGCCGGTGAGCAACTGCAAGTGCCATCTCGATGAAATACATATTGTAAACAGAGAAGATCCACCATGTAGGAACAAAGAGGAGGCAATGGAGTACAAGATCCACCATATTATAAAAAACATCATAAAGACTTGGTTATCTTGTAATTATAAATCATTGCAGCTATCGTCTTCCTCTCTTGCAAACAGAGAAGAGACTTGGTTACTGAGAGTTGTAGAGAAAGAAACCTGGTAGTGCGAGAAGACCTTCGTGTCAAAATTGCAAGCTATGAGCAAGTTTTGAAAGTCTTGGAATTTGAAAAGGTAAAGAAAGCTTCTGAAAAATTCAGCTTCGAAAGTAGAATAAAGGGTTCTGTGTATCGCGGAGAGTTTGGTGGGGAGATCTTAGCTGTTAAGAAGATAAGTAGAGATGTTATAAAGGAAGTGAACATTCTGAAGAGGGTCAACCACTTCAATTTGATTAAGCTTGGAGGTTTTTGCCAAAATCTTGGCTGTTTCTATCTTCGTTTTGGAGTATATGGGAAATGGGTCCCTAAGAGAATTGCTGTTCAGTAAAAAGTCCAAGGAAAGTAGAAATTGGACAGAGAATTCAGATTGCTCTGGATGTTGCTAATGGACTTTACCATCTTCACAGCTTCACCGAACCTCCTTATGTGCACCGTGCACCAGGACATTAAAAGCAGCGATGTTCGTTTAAACGGCAATCCAAGGGCCACGATTTCAAATTTCAGTCTTGCAAGAGCAGCAACAAGGAAAACAAGTGCTGCCTTGACAAAACATGTTGTGGGGACTAGAGGTTACATGGCGCCCGAGTATATTTGGGTAAGACAAGTGACTCCCAAGATCGATTTTTATGCTTTTGGAGTCATTCTGCTGGAACTAATCACAGGGAAAGATGCTGTTTTTACAGAGGATGGAAAGGAAAGCCTACTTTCAACGGCAATAGTTTCTATCATGGAGAAAGAAAACCCGGAAGCGGGGCTAGATTTCTATGTTGATCCTGGTCTAAAAGGAATTTGTGGGACAGACTTCGTCTTATGCTTGACTAAAGTAAGCGTAGCCTGCTTGATGAAAGAACCAGTAAAAAGGCCAACTATGGAGGAAGTGGTATCAATTCTGTTCAAAATTCAGGCAAATGTATTGAAATCATAATCATTAATTTTTTACTCAGTTGATGAAGCAGCCCAACTATGGCGTCCATCAACAGGTGAAACTAATTGGACAGCAGGAGCCGTTTCAAAATAACAGTTATTAGCATGTAGGTTTTTTATCTGAAATTGTATCCCCACCAGTTCTTTTTTAACATGTACAAAATGAAGGTAATTGTTCCAGTAAATTGCTTTTCTCATTTCAGAGTTCCAAAGTGAAGACAGATGAATGAATGGAATTCCATCATGAGATTATTAATTTATCCAATCAATGTCTCTACAGCCTAATAAACATAAAAATCAGCTCTCGTGAAGCTCCTCTCTACAGAATCAACGCTTATGTGCTTCGGCCCTGGGCTCATATTGGAAAAGGCCTAGCTTTAACTATGGATAGAAAAGTATTGTGAGAACTCACTGTTCAAGAATTTAATACGGAAACCTCCCTATCATCTTAATAAGGTCTGCTGTCCTTCAAAGTCCCTATTTGTCCACTGCTTTGTAGTTGGCTCCTTATCCATCTCCATGCACCAAGGTGTGAGATTCAACATGGGACGTCATATTGGGCAAGGACTACTTTAGTTCAGAACTTCAATATGGAAACTTCCCTGTCATTCGTATATGATCAAGTGTTCTTTCGAGACCATATTTTTGCACTGCTTGCTGACCAGCTCTAAATCCATCTCCATAAACCGGGGAAGTATCTGATTCAATTTGATGCTTGAAAAAATCCCCAAGCTTTCTCTCAAATTGAGATCTTGTGCCATTTTTTGTTGTCCTGGATGCAGAGGATGATGCAATATTGCTTCCTGAAGTGGGTGTGAGCTCTGAATCCAACCACATGTGTGCTAGCACCTGACAAATACCCTCTTCCACATCTTGACTGAGAGTTTGGAAACCTTCAGGAAAACAGAAAACGTCAGAATCTGAAAAAAAAAAACTTAAATACGTTAAAAGAAGCAATTGCTTAAGAGAAACTATCAGTTTACATTTTCCTATGCAAGATACAACAAAAATAATCCATCATTTGAAGGTCAAATCTCAAATCTTGATGTCAGTATATGAAATATATATATATAAAAAAAATGACTGTACACAGCTCAGGATGTAAAAGCACCTTTCAGCCGCATCCATGCATGCATCATCTCATGAGCTAGGATTGACCCAGTAAGTAACCTGTATTGGTTAAGATTTCAATACAAGCATAAAACACCTTGTATTACAATACAGAACTAACGCATAAAAAACATCTTCAAGAATATATCAACGCAGCATATCAAAGAAATGAAGATGCGTTATTTTCTTGTTCCTCACTACATCTCATTGTTATAAATTGTGGATACTTGCATAAAAACAATGAACATTCATTTTTATTTCCTATTATCTGCTGGTTCTTTGGTATTACACGGGTCCCTCAGATAAAAGAGTAATAGAAAAGTGATCTAAAGATATACCTTGGGAGGCCATACAAAATCAGAATTGCGGTCACCTCACAACGACGTGTCAGTTTGTAAGGCTCTGTCATCATACCCATGGCTCGGTTCCCTGCTCCAAACCTTGGCTGCTTTGATACCTGATGATCCATGGCCATTGCAACATAAAATTCTGAGTGCCAACTAAAGAAATCAAAAATGAATCAGTCCATTAGAAAATGCAAATGAAAGATTCCAAAATTTTCTTACAGTGCTAATGGTTTGCTCCTCAGAAAGGCAAAGCCCTCTAGTCTCTGGCATGTGGTAATGTCCCTGTTCAAGAGTTAGAAATTACAAAACCAACTTAAAAGAATTAGAGAGCAGAAGTATTGCTTGAAAAGGAACTCCAATACTAAAATCCATGGAACAATTAATTTTTTCAATTTTTTACTCATTCAGTAATGTTCAAAATCATATCTCGATGAAAAGTAGACAGAAGAGCAATTGATTATTTCTGTTTCTCTTCTCTCTTTACTTTAATATTTCATTTTAGATGTAAAAATGTCTTTGCTGAGGATGGAGCCAAGAATACCTTCTAGAAGCACTGGATGTCAACTATCCTGATAGTGTAACGGGTGTTCTTATGACTCGATATATCAAAATATCATTATTAATGGCTTGATTTTTCACATAGCCAGAACTATCTTACAAAAAAAAAAGTTAACAATAAGTTGATAGTAGCTTAAATGTCAAGCTAGCCAATTATTTCCTAAGAAAAGCATCAAATGGGTGATATAAATCTTTTCAATGCATCTGCCCTTACATTCTTTTCTCCATCCCGGGCTTCATTTAGTGCTTGTCTTTCAACCAATAGTAGTGGAACATCCTGCTCCACCTTCATATTTAAACGTTCATAAAATTCTTGTATATCAAGATAAAGGGGTTGGCAATGCTTGGTATCCATGACTGCAGAGTCCAGGCACTCAAGACAGAGCTTCCGACCATCATTAAGGGCAACATATCCCGTGTCTTGTGGCTGCATGTGATGATAAGAAACATTATCCTTTATTTTTTATTTTTTTTGCAGAAAACCAGTTCACCAGGATTATCATTAGAAAGCTTAAAAAGACAGTTTTTTAACCACAAAGAATTCATCCAGATTTACCTCCATTCGCTCACAGCTGCAACACCGAGGAGTACCATCATGTTCATGAGAAGGGCAGTACTTCTGGCTCCAAAAAGGATGAGCCCTATATTCAATAAGACCAGCAGGGTTTGTTGGAATCTGTCAAAAGATATATATTCAGAAAAGCAACCCTAATTGTAAATGGGTAATATATCTGAAATTCTAAGAGCAGTACATTTACAAATAGCCATTTTATCAGTATAAAAAAAATGATATATCACAATGATTTTTAATATGATAACACTTTCTGGATCTGTAAGCTCTGCAAATTCTGTCTCTCCCCCTCCATCTTGTAGCATGACCTCAGCAAATTCTCATTCACAGTATACATGCATAAACGGGAAACTTTGTACTGAATTTGTTGAAATATGAGGATAAGATGCAAAACATCATCCACGAACACTAAACATCAATTATTTTGTAAAACAATGAAGTATGGGTTTTTTTATAAAAAAAAAAATGTTCTAGTGAGTATCCTTTGGCTTGACATTCAAGAGCATTCATAAGTAGTTCTGATTTATTAAATTAGCAGAGAAGTTTCGTTTACGATAAAAGAAAAGGGTAGGAAGAAAATTCTTAAGATGATAATAACAGTTCCAGTATTCAATGGATGAAATACACAACTTAAAGAAGATGAATAAACAAAAAGTTTCTGGGAAAGCTACTTACAAAGAGCTTACAGACTTCACACTTTGGATGGTAACGCTCTTTGTAGCAAGATTTATGATAAGGGTAATTTCCACTCATCGAGAACTATTATGAAAGAATGCAAATAAAGTTAGCAATTGCACTCCAATAAAATAACAATTCAAGGGAAGGGAAAAAAAGAAAGCAATGATGGGATCCATAGAATCAACAATTGACTAATTTATATTAGCAGATAATAAGGAATTTCAGTTTACACCTCGTAATCAGAAATTGGCAGGCCACAAGCATGACAACGGAAACATTCTGGATGCCAAAATGCATTGAGGCAATTTAGAAATTTTCCTTGGCCAATCTCTGTATTGCAACCAGCGCATACCCTAACCAAGAATTAAGAAATTCTTCACATATTCTAGAGCCCAAAGAAGTACATTGTTGCAAAAAAAAAAAGTTGAATGGTGGTGTCAAAGAATTAAGGATCAGAATTAATCAGCTATAGAAATAAGATACCTGAATCCCATTGGAAAGTGGATAGGATAAGGCTGATATGCATTTCCTTGATATGGAATTCCATTTCCATACCGAGGAATTCCATTTCCATATCGAGGAGGAGATTCAATGCTTAAACTTTCTTGTAAAGCTTTGGCAAGTTGTTCATCTTCTTTCAATTGAATCTCAACATCTATCCATTAATTTGAGGAATATATATCATTAAGCTCTGGAGTATTGGATCATAATATATACAGAGAATGAAGCAATATGATAGAACAGAGCTGAAAAAGCGAATTGATTCTACAATGACATTGACAAAATAGCAAAGATGTAGAGAAAATATATAAATCAATTCAGAAAATAAGAGTTCTTGGCAAAGGAATCCTGAAGACGGACCAAAACGAAGTACAGAAATAACAGTCGGAGTGTAGTGAGAGAACCATTTAATTATTGCTGATAGCATTAGACTGTGATATTACTCACCTGAGACATTTGTTCCATTGTGATTGTCCTCTAAAAGGGATAATGCAATAGCATGATCGATATCCTCCTCATTTTCTGGCTCCAAATATGCTTCCTACATTTAATATCCAAACTGAAATATGTCAAAGCAAGAAGGGCGGATCAGGGATTAGAGTTAGCTTACACAAAATTTTCAATCAAGGTTACTAACACTTAATATGTAATAGTTGAGGTAAAAGCTAAAAGATGCCAGTAAAATAGAAGTATTTTTATATGCATCTCCTCTTACAATTAGAAATGGTTTAGCAAGAAACATTAAATCAAATTGGTGAATACCCCTGACGTAGAAGGTGCATTATAGCTAGCATCCTGTCCATAATTTCCATAGTAATGCCCTTCTGAAATATTATGATTGGACCCTTTAAAAATCTTGCTAAGCCAACCCATAACGTTTATGGCTATCTGCTCATCATCAACAAATTTCTTAACTGCAAAAGAAAGCAATAAGTAAACCAAAGGGAACAAAATATATATATCACAAAATGCAGTGGGCTTAGTAATCAAGAGGCATTCACACAATTATACTGGCATGACACAAAACTGCAAAAATTCTATGTTTCTCTTTCTTTATTATGAATTGTTCATAAGATAGAGGGAAGAAAAGGGTAAGCTTGCAAGCAATTTCCAACTTGATATGAAAGCTCCAAACTTGGTTTACATTCTACATTGCAACTAATACTAATATTCAATACGACTAGGACAGCGAAGCATCCCTGCAACCCAGTGATTAATGTTTCCAGGAAACTTAATTCCAGTACTAAGATAACCAACTCTGTAACTATATTGCTTTCCTATTCAACAACCAAAGCAAAAACATGAATAAATTATATTGAGCAAAATCACCAACCAGGCATTGTAATGCCCCAGAAAGTTTCAGCTACAAAATATGTAAATGAACATCAAGAGTCTCCAATGCCCACAAGCTCAAATCAACATAAGAGAGAAAGAGGGAGATAAAAAGAATGATTCTTCCAGCTCAACATGCCCATCAAACTCATGACACATAACCTTTTGATTTCAGGTTCTAAAGAGAAAGGAAAAGGTATGGTATAGAAGGAATCAAATAGTGGAAGAATGACTCACCACTAACAAAAAAACAGCTGAAGCAGAAAAACCCAGATCAGATTAGATCCCAATTTGCTCATAAAGCTACAAAATTGGCAGTGTCAAAAAGAAAAGGTGTTTTCCTGCTGCTGACACCACCCTTTATATCTCTCTGTGTATCTTTTGTGTATAAAAGAATATAATCTATAAGAAAACCAACGAACAGAAAATAGTTATGTACAAAAGATAAGGAATTTAGAGAAGGAATTCGAGATGGTATACAGTGTCAAGGAATATGAAAGACAAATACGCTAAGAATTGAGAACTGCTTGAATTGTACGCAATTTCAAAGTCAAATTTGTACAAAGACATAAAACGAGTTTAGTTTATATAGATTTTTGTTAATAACCCAAAAGAGAGCGATGATTGACGAAGGATCGTCGAAACCCAATTGGGATAATCTGACAAAAGATTCAAAATTTAATACTACGATTTGATTTGCCGGACATATATTTGCATGTGGGGTCTATGCGTATTCTTCAACAAGAAGACCCAACTAAAACAATGTATAATTGTATATAAAAATCATATAATATATTTAAGATTTTTCTTTTTTCAGTTGGCTGACATTGTCTCGGTGACTCGACTTCCAATGGCTTACAGTTTTGCCAAACCTTGAAGTTCCATAACAATAGGTTGACATTGTTAAAGGCTTTGAGAACGGATGTGACAAATGAACATAATAGAGGGGGGAAGGGTTTGACAAAAGAGGAAAATTGAAATAGGAAAATAAAAGAGTGAGCAAAAGAGGGAGAGAAAAAGAGGGCAGGATTTGAAAAACAAAAAAAAAACACCATCGTCTTGGTAAAGGTCTGAAGAGAGTTTCTTCATCTTCTTTTCCTAAAAAAACAATAAAAATATATGTTTTCTTTATTAAAGTAAAAAAAAAAAAGGAGAGAAAAGATATTATATTTCAACATGTCGAGGGCAAGGGCGGTGCCAGGGATGTGGCGCAGAAATAAAGTAGAAGAAGGGGAATCGCATGCAAAGATGTATGTTTTTTTCAGATGGAATCTCTTTTTATTTTGATAGTTAGATTTTCTTAGATAGTTATTTTTTATATGTTCTTGATAAAAGTATAATTAAGTGTAAAGATAATATTAAGTTGATTTGGGATTTGAGATTTGATGTTTTGTTTTTATTAATTTTATATGAGGCTCTCATAATATTAATAATAAAATTTTAATGTTAAATTAATATTTGATTTAATAAAATAAAATAAAATTTTATTAATTCAAACAAATTAAAGTTATAAAAATCTAATTTCAAACTAAAATAAATATTTAATTTTTTTAAAATAATAATATTTTTATATCAATTTCTTGACACGGAATTTTTTTTTAGAATCCACAAATTTATTATTGTTTATTAGCGTATAAAATTCTCAATTTATTTAATAAAATATACTAATAAGCTTTTTAATTTATAGTTTTAAGGCAGAAAAACATTAATAACACTCATATTAATTTGTTGTGTTGATAAAAAAAACGCTTCATCTATCATATACAGAAATCAAACTAGTTGTTTCATGTAGATGTAGGGAGTTAATCGAAGATCAAGTGTTAAACACGGTCTTTCCTAACGATCTCTCAACATGATGTATTAAAAAATTATAATTATATGCCCATCAAAATCTCATAAACACTTCTCAAAACAAAAGGCACGAACTGTACTTTGGTAGGCTTATAGCACCATCCTTGTTTTGCCCTTTCCATTTGGCTCTGTGTTCATGCAAACACTGCAGCTCTTTCTCTCCTTCTTACATGCAATCTCTTCATGGATAGCCACCTAGCAAGTCTAGATTATCTGGAAGTAGGATTGCCCTTCCCCGGATTAAGAGGTCTTGTGTTCAGGCCTCTTCTTTGTAATAAAAAAAAAAAAAAAAAAAAAAGCTCCTCATTTATAGGTCAAAACAACAAAAGCGTCCATGTTAAATACCTTTAATTTTGATTGATCTTATATAATAGCATCTCAATATTGTTATTTTAAAATGTTGTTTAAAGTGCATCATGATATCAATATTTTAAAAATTATTTATTTATTATAAATTGAATTTTTAACTTAATAGTGTTTTTACTTTTTTTGAAAAAAAAAAATTATCACCCCGATGTCTGGCGCGCGGATTAAAAAACTAGTGATTAAGTACATCTTGTGCATTTCTCCACTCCTAGAGCGAAAGGTCAAGTGGGGCAATCTTCATATTTGGTCAGGCAGGTGATCCAATTTGACATGCCTTTATGTCAATTTAGTCAATGTCGGCAATGATGGCTCTAGGTTAAACAAATTAAAATCCCTTTTTGAAATCGTATGCGAGTAATAAAGTAATATTTAGGCCTCAATTTGCTCCGTCGATCATTTCGAAAGCACGGGCATTTTTAAATGCAATTTATTTGTATGGTAATGTAATAGTAATTATTTTTTATTTTTAAAAATTTATTTTTTATATTAATATATTAAAATAATCTTAAAATAAATAAATAATTAAAAAACACTTTTATAATAAAAAACAAATATGTTTTATATTTGATACATCACTAACGACGCACTGTTTGAGTTTTAGAATTAATTGTATTTTAACTATGCATAATTTAATGAGCATAAAAGAAGTATTTTTACTTAGTTAATTCGAAAATTTAATTTTGAAAAATTACTATCAAATAAACAACTTAAAAAAAATACTTGTAAGTTAATACAAAATAATTTATTTAATATATTTACTTATTGAAATATTTGGATGTAAAAAGAGATGCAGATCATGTCCACGAACTTAGAAAACTGACTCAGGAGATAGAATAAAAAAACATGGAAGAAAAGGGCAGAAGAGTTATTGCCTCTTGTGAAAAATATCTCTCTTTCAAGCTAAAGTACTGAATGCTAGCGTAGGACTGTAGAACTAGAACCAATAGCCGAGCTAAGCCTGCACTCACATGGCTTAAGCTCAAAGCATGCTTAGTCTTAAAGTTAATTCCTTTTAAAAGCTTTAACACTTTACACGTCCCATTTTAACTTTTTCATCTTTACATTATATAAGTTCCAAGAAATTTTTATAATTTTTTGATGTGAGATTTAGATACTGGGTTTGTAAAAACATATCAATGATTATTTGAAATTAATTTTTGGACTACATCATTTGGGGGGACACAGAAATAAACAAGCTGATATGACAGAGAAAAGAGAAAGAATTACAACTGATTTCTACTGGCTTGTGATCTGAACTGTGAACATCATCAACCGGCTCGTGAGAAAGCAAACTTGCACTGAATCTTGAACAAGATCCGGTCTGTCCATGATGGGATTCGCACCTGAGTAGTTGAAACATCCAAGAAAACAAAATTCAGGTACTAATCACAAACTACAAAGTCAAAGAAACAATTACTGTGAGAAAACATTCGGTGACCTTGTAACTTGTATCGTAATTTCCGCTTCCAGCACCGTTTTTGTACGTTGGTTTAAATTCCGATGTCCCTTCGCACTATCCATCAAGAACCCGTCCTCTTTCCGCTTCCTGTAAAAGTTGATCTTTGCTGGTGAGCAACTGCGTTGTGATCAATCATAAAATGTGTAACAATTTTTTCTGATAAACTTAACATGCCTATGTTTTCTACCCAGCATAGTCTCTAGATTTTAGAATGGGAGAAATTATTAGATTGATCTGTTCGTAAATGGAATAAACCAATCATATTAAAGACTTCAATACATTGCCAATCATACTCAAGTGTTCAATACATTGCCAACAAAAACTTCTAGCACTGGTAATATGATGTGATAGAAAATTGATGGATAGTAATAATAATAATAACAATAACTTTTTATGAAGTATCGTGAGCGTGTTGTAACATTATTGTTGTCTTAACAATTATCTTACTCCGTGAAGGTTTTCTCTTTATTAGATTTCTGACTAGTTGTGTGTTCATTCATTGTATTCTGTAAATAAGATCTTCCAATCATACAGTGACTTGAGCAGGCCTAGCTAGCCTGAGGATTCCAATACTTGGAGCGAAGGTTGTGTGATATATGTCTCGTTGAGAAGTTCTCTCTTCCACATTACGAGCATGAGATGCATGAAGGACATTAACACAAATGATATATTGATCACCAGGTAACATAAATCATCAACAGTAATTATAAAATTATTGATATATGTGTGTGTGCATTTCTAAGGATAAAGAAGAAGAAGTTTGAGCATGTATAGGGTTCGGCCCATTTGTGTACTTGGCTTAGAATAAATTGATATGAGGAACGTGCTGCTGAAATTGGGCTTGTACCGGAAAGATGGCATGCGATATTGAACACCGTTCAGATGCCATTGATTTTTATGTTGATTTCCTAGTTAAAATTGGCTTTTTAAGTTAATAATCGTGCTGAGAGGGTTTAAAAGGAGTATTTTCATGTATTTTTTTCACTAATATATAGTAAAAAAAATTGAAAATCCCTTGGTGGTCAATGCATTCATCAGATTTTAGAGAGTCACCTTAAAAACAACGAAACTCCTCAAAGAAATGAAGAGAAACTCGTTTTCCTTCTTCAGACTAGGCGCACCAGGTGTTTCACACCTAGGCTTGTATGTCATCCTCCCCTTTGGTTTTGGGATAGGAATCAAATGCTATCCAATAATATCCATAAATTTTCTACACAATAGACATTCATGGCCATTTCTTTTATCTTTTTTTTAGCAAAACAAAATGGAAAAGAAAGGGAACACCAAACAGTTTTTGCAAGAGATATCGATATGAGGTAAAAGTAAAAAGAGGTAAAATTAAAGAAAAAGAGTCATTATTTATTTTTATAGTAACTAAAAATTCTAACTAATTTTTTAGATATTCTAAATAATAAATTAGTTATGTAATAAAAAAGATAACAATTACCCTATATATCTTACTTAAGGTAAATTGTATTGTTACTTATTAGAAAAATAAAAAGTGTTTATTATATTTAAAATTATCTGAAATGACATATTTTTTTCTAAAATCTAAATTAAAAGAATGTTTTCGAATTTAAACTTGATGAAAACAATATGATACTTGCTTAGACAACAGTTAGATATTGAACCTATATAAATAGTTAATTATTGATAAATATTGAAATTACAATGATTAAATGGATTGAAATGGATATGAAAGCCATTACTCACTTTAGATGGTTTTATATAAGATCATGTTGATCTAGTCCAAATCTTCTTATAACATGAACATATATTAATATATATTCATCAATTCAAATATCTAATAATCAACATTCAATAATAAAAGCTGAGAATATATGATTTATTATGGGTTGATTTTTTAAAATAAATGATAACTTATACATCATAATAAACACAATTATTCATCAATTCAAATATCTAATAATCAACATCCAATAATAAGAGCTGAGAATGTATAATTTATTATGGGTTGATTTTTAAAAATAAATGATAA